TGGTTTGGGGAAGTGAATTCTATAGAGTAGATTCCATACTGCTGTGTTATGTTGCATATATCTTTTAGATAGTGATCTATGATTTGTCTTTTGATTTTTACATCGGGGAACTCTGTTTTACATGGACTGATTCCGGGTTCAAATAAATTTACGAGTAAATTTTGACAAAATATGTGTTGTCCTCTATCAGTATCTGCGTCTACTATAAAAGGAAAGATTTCATCATCATCTGGAGTTTCGTCACCTGGGGTGTGCGTTGAACTCATTTTTCCGTTCGATGACTGTTAATATGTAATTATTAATGTGTCGAATTGGTTGATTCCAATTGTATAAATGTACTGGTTTGTGTTTGTACTGTTTTTTTATTCTTCTTTTTCCTCTTTGTGATGAATTTGAAGTTGTTTCTGAGTCAGAAAAATATATTTGATCGTGAAGTGGGTAATTTTTATCTATTGATTCTTTTAGTTTGTAAAGTTCGTCTAAACTGTTGGTTTCTGATTCTGAAAATGCGTTTCGATTTTTTGAAAATCTTCGTGTTATTTGTCTTTGTTTAGTTATTATTTTTCTCTTTAGTGTTTGTCGTTTTGTTCGAATGTATCCAACTGTTTGTGTATGAGGTGTGATTACAAGGTCGTATTTTTTGTTATCTATTTCACAATTGTGTAAAATGATTGTTTGTTTATTTCCTAGGTTTTTAAATGACATAAGGTTTAGGATGACGGATGCAAAAGGTTGTTAAATGATTTCTATTTTCCTAAACTGTTAGTTCTTACGATTTTTTGGTTAGCTTAACCTGGGTCTATTTGTTCAGGGTTGGAGAGAAAAGTATATCGATTCCGAAGAATGATTTTTACTTTCTCGTGACTAGTATAAGCTAAGGTGTTAACTTACTTAATCTTACTTAGGGGTAGTGATTGTGTTCAAGGGTTGGAGAATAGTAAATCGATCCACAAGGTTCAGGTATAATTAGAACGCGAGTAGTTCGTTAGATACTATTTTAAACTTACTAAGTCTAAGATTTATCCTGGGTCTGGTAAGAGGGGGGGTCAAGTGAAGGATGATTAACCGAAGTTCTTCACTGTTTATCCTAATTTGAATGATTAGTTTTATTTAAAAATTTCTATTAGTCTTGGGTCTTTAGAAAGGGTTGGGTAGTGAATCGACGTTTGAGGTCGTTAGACACTAATTAAGTGGGTGGGGGAGAACAAAATTGTTCTGTTTGATCCAAGGATAAGCCTTGATGATCAAATTTGAAATTTAATTAAGTAGAAAATGATTTAAGATCCAAGGATAAGCCTTGATGATCTGGTTTTAAAATTAAGTGACTTTAAGTTTTAATAAAATTTTAGATGTGTGTAAAGGAAAGATTTAGTGTTTTGATGATATTAGTGAGTTGATGATTGCTGTTATGTTTTAGATGATGAAGCTGGAACAACAAGATGATTTATGATTACTAACCATTTATTGTCATGCTACTAATTTTTATTTTTATTTTTATTTTCCAATAAATATTTTTCAAACATGTTTTGTATAATACTGCAGAGTTTTAGGAAAACGATCTTAGATCTTTTTATCAATCGTTATTGTATAATATTAATTTTGTTTAGCGCCTGAAATGATTTTGAAGATTAACTTCAAGGTTTTATGTTTGCAAATGGAAATCTAAATTCATTGCAAGTAGTATTCGAAATATAAAAGTTTGTTCTGGCTTTTGCCGAACTATCATATAACTATACGGCAAGTTTCTACTTTGTCGTATGTCGTCTTTGGTTCGATGTCTTCTTCCAATTCCGGGTAGTTCTATTATGGTTCGGAATATTGGCTCTGATCTATTGAGTCGGAGAGACATTTCAATTAAATTATTGTCGTATAACATTTTGTAAATGTTTTTGTCTAATTTCTAATCTATTTTTGGTTAATTCTAATCTAGTAAGGTCTTGTTCGAGACTTATGGTCGCACCAGATGAGTTAGGACCGAAGTGTAACTCATAGAGTAATTTCGGATAGGGTACACCGTCTGCTCGTCACGCTATCTTATTTTCGGCCGGATAGATTCGTGCAACTTCTTAGTCTAATACCGATCCTAATCTTACTCTTATACTATCTAGTCTCAGGTTGTTTAACTAGTCTCTGCTAGGCTCAATAGATCTAGGGTATACTGGTTTATTGCGGCTGCTGAAGTGCTCGGGAGAGTCCAACTAATTTCTAAGTTAAATTCAAATCTCTCTGGTGCTGAAATTACAAGTAACTTCAGCACTTACAAATAAGTGGGTTGTTAGTTAGATGGATCATGATTGGTTAATATTAAATACTTTACATTGGTAAAACATTTAATTTATCCAATCATAAAATGTAGTTTAGATCAGGTTCCAATCCATTCATCCCTGACTATGTTTTAATGAAATCTATTGAATCCTCTTTACATTTAAATTAGATATTCTGTTAAAGATTTATTTTGATAGCCCATATATCTCAGCTGTTAAGTGACCGATGGATGATGCCTTCAATTTTTTTATGATTTCTAGAGTCATTTTAGAATTTGAGAGTATGTAGATTTTTGAGATGAGCGTTATCAATGTGATAGTTTTTTGTTCACATTTTTTATTTTGTTTTTTGCCAATTGTTTCTATCTCATTTTTTATTGAGCTGTTTGATCACTGCTCAAAAAGAAATCACATAATTAGCATTTTCACGTGAACTACTTTTTGCCGAAATATTGGGGTAGGTTTTAAAACTTGTAACTTTTGTTAAGAATCTTTGATGGTGTTTTCAAATAACTTTCGCCCGATTCACACATAGTTATTTTTGAATGGTTGTTCGTTCTTTCCTTCCGATTTGTAAGAGTAATGAACGTAGTGAGGATTCTTATTTAGGTCTTGCTGATTATTTTTAGTTTTTTTTTCAGGAAAAAAATTTGTTCACGCTCAATTTTGATTTTTCGGGTTTGATTTGTGATTTCTTTTTAAGTTCAGTGCATTTCCATTGTTAAAAGGAAGGCAAACTCCAGTATCGAACAGTAGAAGTAGAAAGGTCGAGAAAAACGCGATCGACTTCTAATTTCGAAAATGGAAATTAATTGCCAGATTGTCCAGTGAAATACAAGTTTTGCCTATTGATCCAGTTTTCTCAAATTGGGTTAATTTTAACGAAAAAGTGTCCATGATAAATTTTTGTACCTATTCAGAGAATTTTAAAGCCATCTATTTTTTTTCGAAATTCAAAAGTTAAAGATTTTTGAAAAAAAAAACAAGTCAGTTTTTGTTTGTTTCATTGCGTTCATAACTTTTTTCCAACTGTCAGTTGGCTATGTTTGATTTTTTGTTAATGTCGCATATTTTGTTTTTTAAGCTTGACCGTAATTTTTATTGTTGTTTATCCTCAACAATTTTTTGTTCGAGGAGATAGTTTTTTTGTTTATTCAGGCTTCAAATTAACAAGTTGACTTTCTGACTGGAAAGCTGAAGTTTCGTTTTTTTTTGCTCATTTTAAATCCGAACGAAACCGAAATACCTGTCTATGTAATAAAATGATCAATTGTGTTTTAACTAGCTCAAAATAAATCCACTTGTTTTTTGCGCTTTGATCACAGTAGTGTACTAGTGTTGTATCTAGGAAACTGAAAAAAAAATTAAGTTTTTGGTCGTGAAAAGTACTTTCATAAATTTTTTGGTGGCCAAAAAAATATTTTTTTATAAAGAAAAGTGCAGAAACCTTGTATTTTGACTTATAAACGCATTAACTAACACTTAATCAAGAGCACAAAAAAACCTGGAAAAATTTATACTTTTTTCTGCTCCCTGCAACTTGACACGACAGAAGGCATATGCTCCGAAACTTCAAAACCAGTGTCAGCAACGAAAACCAAGGCAACGTATAAAAGATCGTGCGTAACTTTTGTTTATACAAAAAATAACTTTGTTCATGGGAAATATCGAATATATCTGTTTTTTATCCAGTTATAGAATCACAAATTTGTTTGGACTTTTGATGCTTTTTCTAATTTGCCCCGGCCGTACTTTCACGTTTTTATCTTGGGACTTGCTTCCGTGGGAGAGATCGATGTCGTAGCCGTAGCCGGTCCACCTTTAGGAGGCGCCTGACACTGGGACCCTCCAACTGTGATCGTAGTGCGCTATCAACCCACATGACCTTTGCCTTAAAGGCCGCGCATCCTATCTGCTAGGCCACGGCTGCTCGCGTCTGGCGTGTCATGCTCTGCTGTTGGCCAATTAAGAGATCTTTTCACGGCCCATGAGGTGTTAAATTGATCCTAACAAACAATTATTGATGACCTTGTCGCTGAATGGCCACAAAGTCTCCCAAGCGCAAATTTTCTAACCCTTGACTTCAATAATTAATACTTGATACACCTCTTGATGAGAACTTGTCTGTTGTGTTCCTTGCAATTTGGACTCATAGATTTATAAGTTATCATTATTACCTCATCGCATAGTGAATTTATAGTGCCATATATTAAGAAAAAATAAGATATAATAATTGGCTGCGGGTCTATTATTGTAACTTTGAGATAATTGAGTAATTGTAGGTATTGCTCTTTATGCGACTGATATTGATTTCACAGGGAATTGAATTTACCCTAAATTGAATTGAATACCCCGCTTAAATGAAATATTTTGACTGCTGTTAATTAAAAATAGGTCACCCGTTGACAATCTTAAAGACTTTTCAGGCCCTCTCCCTAAAAGAACCAAATTTGAAACCCCAAAAGGGGCAAAACAATTTTGGATGCAATTTTGGATTTTTCCCGATCTATTGAGGGGTAATCATTTTGTGAGGACTCCCCCCTAGTACGCTCAGCTAAAGAGAGTTGATTAAAGTTGGTTAACACTTCCTTTGAAAACATGTCCGTTCAAATTAGTTATGCTCTTTCCCAATCTAAACTAACTAATTTTACAGCTCAATGTGCGATCTACAATCCAATCACTTTGCTCACCTATCCGGCCTCATTTTTAATCACTCCGTCCTCTTAGAACCTTCAATTGCAGTTAACTCGCTCGAATTATCATCACCACTACTAAAACTAACCTAAATCGAACTAACTCAAATAAACTACAGTCTACTCCTCAAAAAGTCACACAAATAGATTCTAAAAATTGATCCTGAATTTTTTAAAAAAAGATTTGATCGAAAATTTTGAATTGGTTTCACAATTCGACTTACAGCTTACGTTAGATCACGTTTTCCCTGACATGTCATCAGCTGCACCGATACAAGAAACAGCTTTAGCCGTTCAAAGAGGAGAAGAATCTAGATCTTGCATAGATGGACACCAATTGAATGAGTCTTCGAATAGTGTGATGAGCTCCTCGGCTGACAAAAGGAGTCCCAGATTCACTATCGACTTCCTACTCTCTTCGCACTACAAGGAGAACAGTGACGTCAGTAAAACAGGTGAGTAGTTGGGTAGGAACTACGGAGTAGCTTGTTTTTTCTCCTCCTTTATTTCGTCTACCTTAAAGAACGCTCATAATGATTCAAGTGTGGTATCATAGTGAATCCCTTTCAGACATAATTCCGATTACGAAAAAGTCGAGAAAAACTGGTCTGATTTTTTTTTGAAGTTTTCCGGATTAGATAAGACGGCATTCACGAATGACACGATAAGAGATTGAACACTCAATGTAATTAGTCTGCAATTATTAACTTTCTTATTACTGTCATCTGGTATAACTGTACGTTGTTAGTAAAAACAACTTCATTTACGTTGAAATAGTCCAAAACAACAGTTCAAATAGAATTTTTCAGAAAAGACTAACGCAAACCAACGCAACATGACCCTGGACAGTGACAACGATTCTGATGATTCTCTCAGCCAATCAGAACACGGCGCCGACTTCAACTCAACCAATCACAGCGAGGGAGCAGGGAGAGGAGGCCAATCACCTTGCTTTGGGGTACGCGGTAACCAGCGTGATTTAAAATCGTATTTGACGATATTTGGCTGAGAATTTGGGTTTAGTTGAGCGGTAGGAACAAAAGATAAAAATTGATTTTTGTTCTTCGAAATTTAAAAAAAATCAACAAAATTTTTAAATTTTTCTTCATAAAATGCAAGTTTCAAGTGAAAAAAAATTGTTTTTCTGACAATTTATTATAGCTTTGCGCCTTTGGAATTCATTATTTGATAGTTATGTTATCTTTTTCAGACAGGAAAGAAGCATCGGAAGGCGAGGACTGCATTCACGGATGAGCAGCTGGCTCAGCTGGAACAGAACTTCGAGAGACACAAGTACTTGTCTGTGCAGGACAGACTGGATCTGGCGGCCAGTCTTCAGCTGAGTGACACTCAAGTTAAGACATGGTACCAAAACAGACGGTGAGTTGAACTGTTGCTTGCTGATAAACACTCCTTAGATGATAAAGAAGTCAAAGAAATCTGAAAAAATTTACTGTCGCGAAGAACAAGTTTTGTGGCCATGCTCAAGGAAAACTCCAGAAACACTAAGCATATCTTTTTGGTCAATAATGACAAAAGTTGTAAGAGAAAAGTTGTATATATGGTTACTGATTTGAAAAATCTTGACCAAAGTCAGTTTTTGGAGCAAACTTTGCTCTCAAAATGTGACCCTTTTCAATTTCAATTCTTTATGTTCGTTCTTTCTAAAAACCGATGAAATTTTTTACACTCTCTCTCACCTGAAGTTTGCCCTCAAATTTTTGCTCTGGCAAAACTTTCAGCTGATGGCCAGCTCGGGATTCGAAACTGTTACCTCTCGCTTAGAGGACATTTGCATAAGCTCTCTCTTATTCTAGGACCAAGTGGAAGAGACAGACAGCTGTGAGTTTGGAGATGTTGGCAGCTGCGGAGAGACAACACAATCTGTGCACTCTGCAGACGGCTGCATTAGCCAACTTCCATCACCACCACCAACAACGTCAACAACAACAGCAACTGAAAAAACAACAACAACAGCAGCTACCAAATCAACCTCTTAACCATAACAATCATTGCAATTTTGATTCAATTACTAGCCCTCAAGTCCCTCCAATCGGCCAACCGCCCTTGGGTCTAATTGGCGGGGTAGGAAATAATGGATTCCTATTGGCTGCTGCCGCTTACAGACAGTTCATGTTTTCTTCTCCAAGTCAGAATCTTCATTTGAGTCAATTGATGTCATCTGTCATTTCAAAAGAAACGAGTTCGTGCAAGAAGTAGAAATACTGTATTGCAAATATAAATTGTATATTTTAAATATAATTAAGCAACTATGTAAAAGTTTTTAAATTTGAGTGTTGTAAGAGAGTATAACTGAAATTTTTACGCGAACAGTAAACTCAATTTCAAGCCGAAATGCTTAAAGTAGCTAAAAACAACCAGTTTAAGTCCGAAAACAATTCATAGCAAGGACGGCCAGTTACAGTGCAAGTTCCACGGAATGTTCCGACCATAGTCTTTAAAAAACTCAATTTTTTTCTAGGACTTAAGCATATTCGACAGTCATAATAAAATAAGCAAATTGAAAAAATAGTTTTTGTGGAAAAATGAACAGAAAAACGAAAAAAAAAAAATTGATAAAAATTTGAAAAAATTTTCTGAATTTTGACAGTTTTTTTTTGAAAGTTTTCGATTCCTAAAATGGCGCAAACCAACTCCACAAACTAATTTCACTCGAGTAAAACTAAGTTTCACTGTTAAAATTAAGCATAAACAAGCTATTTTAAGCCTGTTCGCTCACCTTATTTGCTCAAAATTAGACCAAAAATCAAAAATTTTAAACGTGTTTTTTGTCGATACTGAGAAAAAATGTTCAACATTTTTTGAGGTCGTTCTAACTACGACTAAACCGGCTTTAGTATGATTTATCACCCAACAATTTCCGATAATTATTTGTGGTACTACTTCTTTTTCCAGTTTTTTTTGTGAATATGGCCAAAAAATCTACCACATCAAAAGATACCCCAAGAAATCATTGGAAAATAGTTAGTGGTATGTATCATGTTAAACCCGTTGCAGTTGTAATTAAAACTATCCCAAAAAAATTTTAAATTTTTTCCTCAGTACCGACAAAAACCCGTTTGAAATTTTTGGTCTAATTGGGAGAAAATAAGGTGAACGAGCAGGCTTAAAATAACTTGTCATTTTGTATTTTTAGAACTATACAAACCCGTTAAAAAATTAGTGAAATAAGAAAAATCCACTACAGTTAAAATAATAAATACCAAACAAAAAATGAAAAAAGTTCCACATGGAAATTATTTTGTGACACTTTCTCCGGAGCCGATGTGTTTCAATAAAAAAAAAGCGTGAAGTCGGTCGGTTTTATAATGTCCTAGCCATGCGTGTTGATGAAAACAATTTCGATTTTTGTAGTTTTTTTGAAGTTGAGGGCTTGTGAGGGCTCGAATACAAAATGAATCTGACAAATGATTTTGGGCAATGACGATACACGCGTTTCATTCTAAGCGTCTTAAGAAAAAAATGTACAATATATTCACCGGTATTTGTTCTGAAGATATCAATAAAGTAACAGAAAAGGTGTTGCGACAGATTTCTAGAAGTTTTCCCTGTCAACATTTTTGATTCTAAGATTTTGCAGATGTTTCATCTTGCTTCATATAAAAAGGAAAAATCCATCAATTATTCAGCTCATCTGTCGCAGAGGTAACACACATGCCGTAGACGACAAAGGCTTGATATTCGAATTCGATCGAACCTGAATTTTTTAAACTGGAAACTTTCTATTTTTCGGACTATCCTTTGTCTGTTTTTTTTCCGGCTCAGTTCCAGTAGCATGAATTCTTTTTGAAAATTTAAAATTTTTTGATTGCCTGAATGCCATTCATAAAGCCCCATTGGTAGAGGTAAATGATTTACAAGATGTTTTGCGGAAATTGAGTTTTGTTAAAACACTTCAAATAGAAAGTATTTAGAACTTTTTTTTCATATATATATTTTTGATCCGTATAACACTGTGCACTGATTTATCACAAATGCGATGATTGTGCTCGCTATTAACAAGCACAAGCAGTTTTAATTCGAAAGATAGCCTGATTTTGTAAACTATTTGCCCAACAAAATCATTGAATAAATTTCTCATTCTGCATTTTCGTCATTCAACTGCCATATTTTGATTAGGCTTGCGTTCTATTCATTCTTTACTTTTTATGCTGGGTTTCAGTTTACCGAATTTGGTTTTCTATGTTTTATTTAATTTTTTTTGGGTTTGTCAATTAAAAATAATTGATTTTGAGCAACTTTTTAGCCCAGACAAACGACAATTTCAAAGTAAAATAGAAAACAATTAATAAAATTATTCAAAATCTTGCAAGAATTCTAGTTCATTGCTCAAAATTTTTTTGAGCAACTCAAGTGCCCGCACATTCCACAATTTAAACATAAATAAAATAACTTTTTTGTTGTATGCTCTGTGCTCTGAGTTAACTCAAATATATATAAAAATTCAGTTTTTCAAGCTTGTCATCAGAACAAATAATTCAGATAAAGTATCACGAAGACGTAACTTTTTCTTTTGTGAATTTGAAAACTCCTTTTTGTGGCTTCAACGATAACAGAAGTATACTAGCTTTTGAAAGATAATTTGAGAATCAGACATCATCATTACTATATTGTGTGGAAAACAATCCTCGATTGTCAATTTCAAAAACTAAGTTATATTATAACATCCCTCGAATACTCTAAAATTACTCAGTTCAGCTAAAGGTTTGGCCTATTATGAAATAACGGAATAAAACCGTCATTTATTTCTATAAATACTGAAAAATCAAAAATTGGTTTTAAGTTGCTTGATTGTTAGAAAAAATACCAGATGATATTTTTTACCTCCACCAACCAAAATCTTTTTCTAAAGCTTGAATGAATTTTAATTAAAATATATTGCATTGAAGAGTTTTTGTTGAACTTTTTTTAAGAATCTTGTTGAAGATTTGATATCTTTATTCATCGTTTTATAATTTAAAGATTCTCAGTGTACGAATTTTCATACGTAGAATTTCGTTCCCAATCCACTCCATTACCATTCTCGTCATACTCTGAGTACAAGTTATAAGACCAAGATTTTGAGTATAAGATACAGAAGACTCCTCGCTCTAGGGTAAAATTCGGAATATTCCGATTGCATATTAACTCATCTGGAAGACTTATCGACCTATTTTTGATAAATTAAACTTTTGCTGTTTTTTATTTTCAGCAGCCATTTTTTAAAAGCGAGAGTCGTTTGGCAGTTTATAATGGCCAAAAAACTTGCCTCAGATCTTTTTGGATTGTTTTTGTGCGCTGAATAAATCGTCATGATTAATAAATTGGTGCTTACGTTTTTATCGTTTTAAAGTTTAAAGGGCGCGCACGTTTATTTATTCTCTCCAACACGGGTTAAAAACGTGAAGGAAGTTACATATTTCAACGTCCTTCACGTTATCAAAAACAAGACTGCTCGTATATCAGGGCGATGCCCTGAATATTCCGACTGTCCTTTATCTGTTCTCATGCTAACCATTTGAGAAGAATTAAAATAATTTTTCACGTTGCATTTCAAAATTACTCAAAATAACTCTCAATTCATTTTGGAACGATTATAAGTGCGGATAATTTACAACGCATAAAAAATCCGCGTTATGAAACTATGAAAGCATTATTCGAGCAGCAATGCCATCCGCATTTTTTACTCTTGTGCAATTTTTGATTTCAAAAAATCGATATGATAATTGAAAAAGAAAAAGTTTTGTTTGGTCTGAAAAAGGGTTGCTTATAAAAGCTAACCCAATTACTCATGAAAGCTGGAACAAGTAGGAAAAACCCTGTGTCTTTCAGCGTTTTTCCTACTTTTTCAGACTCAGACAACTTCACGCGATAACAATGTGTACTGTCTAATAAAAACTGTAGTCATTCATTAGTCGGCATTTCTTGACCTTAAGTGTTTTCGACTGATGCCGGTTGTTTTTTTAAGTTAAGGGTTGTTTCATTCGTGCTCGTTATTTTTTAAAGATGTTCGATTTTGGTTAAGGTTAAAATCAGGTAAACTTCTTCAGTCAAGGTGGGATAAAAAAATTAAAACTTTAGTACTAGTTGTTGAGGTAATAGTGATTATCAAGCAAATTGAAGTTGAAATTTTGAGCAATTTCTTCGCCAAGACGCACAACACATTTAATATTGAAATTAATAAATTTTTCGTTGAAAGCTCTGAATTAACTTAAATATGTCTAAAGAATCCGTATTTAAACTTGTCTTCAAAAAATTAAATAAGATTAAGCAACATCAAAATATTTCGTTTATGGATTTACAGTCTCCTTTTTTGGAAAAGACATGCAAGAGGTGAAACTACAAGCATAACGGCTGACAAAAAATGTTATGTGAAAATTAATTCTCGGTTGTCAAATTCAAAAATTAAGTTATATTAAAGCATTTTATAATTTGTGTGAAATTACTGGGTTCAGCTGAACCTTGGGCCAATTATGAGCCAACTGAATAAAAAAATCTTTCAATTTTAAGACTTTCCACAAAGTACAAAAAGCACACATTGATTTTAAACTGCTGAATTGTTAGAAAAGTTACCAGATGCTATTTCTTCAAGCTTATGACACTTCGAGCTTATTGATTTTTAAAAAAAAAGAACACAATGCTTTCAATTAAGGTGTTTTGTATTCAAATTTAATCTTTGCATTCAAATTTAGCCGAAGAAACTCTATTTGGTGTAATTTTTTGTTTCTTTTGCGTACTTTTTTTTAGTTTTGTGATTAAATACTTTCCGAAATTAGTGTTCAATTTACTTGAAATTGGCGTTGTTCAATAAATTCTTGAACCGTTCCTAATAACCATTACTTAATTTAGTTTTACGTAATTTTTAACTAAGTTACCAAAAAACCGCAGAACCATCAAATGCTTGTACATCTTCCTCAGAAACATCAAATTGGTACCAATATAGTTGTTGATAGCTGTTAAAATAGGAGAGGCGATTGCGACCTCAAGAAAGAAAAAAGTTTCGTTTTGTATTTGACTTTATTTGGTTGTTTGACTTTTTCAATTTTTGCTCAAACAGAGAATTGCAATTAAAACTTAATTGAAATTTATATGAAGGACTGAAGCTTAACTTCAAAAGACAATTTTCGTTGGCTCAAATATTGTACCAGAAGACCCTTTTATTTTCTGCTTTCTTACAAACATTTTCCACACAATCAAATCGCTTTTGAGCAGCCAAAAAT